TAGAAAGATTCATAATTCTATACAATTGCTAATAAAGATTCATGGTGATAAGCTGTTGATTGAGTATATTTTTGCTTTTTATTTTAATACAACAAATGTGGTGATGATAATTCAACCTCTAATTTCTAAAGAAAAAATAATGTATCTTAACTTCTAAACTAATTAGTTCAGGTTGGTTGAGTATATTTTTACTTATCATGATTAAAAAGATGATAGTTACTTTATCACAAATATAAGTAAAATTTCCAGTGCTGGGAGAATTCTTTGTGTATTAAAGGTAATTTGTTGAACGATGATAACTTCACCTTTTCACCAATCGAAATAAAAATTAATTAGAAATGAAATCAATTGAATTAGGAATGTTATTTATTAATGTTTTTTATTAAAAATTTTCTAGAATTGAAATAAAAAATCTATTGATATTAATTTAGTAAAACTGTTTGGAATCAAACTAAAAATAAAACATAAATATAATCATTACATTGATACTCATTTCTTGATCATCTTTTTATTTCAGGACAGAATCTTCCACCATCACTTTTAAATTAATTAGCAACATTATTATATTGGAATAACTTTTTACTTGTATTTTTCAAAACTTGAGTTCATTCAATTTTTATTTTAAATAATTTTTTATAGCACAACAAATTTGAGGTTTGGAGATTGAACAATTTCTACCTGTTAACTGTTGCCCACCAACAAAAAGTTCATAGTTTTAAGAAACAGAAAAATTCTTATAATAGAGTTTAAACAGACAGTTATCCATTTAAATGTCATACCACAAAATGATGAAATGGCAGAATATAATAATGGTGAGAGTAAGTGCACGTGCACGCTATTCACAACTAAAATATCTATGATACCAACAATTTTCTTCACATTTACAAAGGGTCTTGCCCAAAAAATCCATTCAAACACATTTTTTTAATCATTCAGTGCAATAAATAAAAGTCCTCAAAGAAACAAACTCAACTCAACTAATTAAAATCTGGCTCGCATCAACAACAAAATTGGAGACTTCCTCAAACTAGACACTTGCTTCACTTATTAAAGATTTCAACTCATCTCTAAATGTGGGGATTTTTCTTGCTTCAACTGCCATTACCATTCCCATTAACTGGTAGCCTTTTAGCTGCAAGAAAACCAACAGAAATGAAGCATGAAATCGAAAAAATATCGCAATGCCTTTAACACAATAAATTATGCAATCCCTGTGAGGAAAAATGTGATTTTCTAATCCTGCAGTTGCATACCAACTATTTTTACTAGTCTTAAATCACTGTACATTTCATACTTGCCTCGTTAGTCGTCTGTGGTTGGATGTGCAAGGGAAAGCAGAAGGACCATACACACAGCTGAAATAAGTTTTCGATGAGAAAAAAATATATGTTAAACAGTTTGGAGAGTCTCAGGAGCAACTTTAGTACAGGAATGTAGATCAAAATACCTTGTGAAATATTTCGTCTTCTGGCTTAACATAGATAATTGACTCATCTGTTTCAGAAGTCAGTCTTTTCTTATGATTTGGATTCTTGAGCTGTAGTTTGTGACCAAAAACCACAGCAGCACATAAGAAAATAAACATCAAGTAAAATAAACAAGGGCACATATAAAAATAGTTGTTAATTGTTAAATCATATATGTGGAACAGTAGAAGCAGAAATAAACTTGCTACATTGGCATACCTGGTAAATTTTACTGACTAAAACATACATTTTGAAGCGGAAGGAATCTCGGAGCTCTTTAGTTGGCTTTAAAAAAAAACTTTTTAAGTACAGATAATAAATATTTTCAAACATCCATACAAATACTTATCAAGTAGAGGGTCCAAATTGTTTAAATTTCTAACCTCATCCTCAATAGCCCATGAGATTTCATCAAAAAGGGCATCATAGAGTGGAGGCAGAAGTTGGGGAGGAAGATTCACTATTCTTTGAGAGACTAGTAGACCAACACTGGATGCTTGCTCCTCCAAGATCAGCTTCAACTTATTCTTTAGATCCTTTTCCTGACAAACTTTAAGGAGATACCCCTTGAGCTCTAGGATACATCTACTGTCCTAGTAAGACCAAATTTCATTCACAGTTCATTAGTAAAGGACAATTTAGCCTGTGAAAAGGTTATGTTTGTCTACAACAAAACAAATTGCACAGAATCATAAGACTTGACACTGGAGCCCCTGCCTCATCATCAAACATAATGAAAGTGGAAAGGTTGTTTATGTTGAATAACTTGCTATTTGTTCAAATTGAAGGAAATATGAGAGTTATCAAGATGAGATCTCTACCATTAAGTAGTAAGTTGCTAAAGTTTCCTTCACTAAACCAACCTAATTTCACACAATGCAAAGGGTCGGCATGTAGTAACTTCGAAAGGGTGTTCATAAAGCTGCACAAATGAACTCAAAAAACTACAGCCAGACCGACAGAAAATTCAATATTGGATCAGACTTCTATGTTGCATACCTTATATCTTTCCAAGTTAAGGGCAGTGATAAAAGAGAATACTCCATTATCTTCATCTCCCTCCACTTTGATCACAGTACCAACTGTAGTTTGTCCTAATATTAGATCAGAAAATCCACTTAAATCCCACTGTGTATCATCTAGGTAGTTGTGCAGCAATGTCTTCACCCCATGAAAGTCGTCGGGCTTTGGATCAAAAAACGCAAAATCTGCTTGAATTTCCTACAGAAAAGATCAACATAGTTCATATATGATAATGTGTATGGATAAATAAATAAATAAAACTAACCAAGAAAAAATTTATTTAAAAAAGACAATACTTAAGCTATAGACAGTCTTACTTCAAAGTCTTCATCACTGGAAGAAGAGTCAGATGAGTCACTCTGAGCCTCAGGACTATTCCTAATAAAACCATTACCTACAATTAGAACAAAATGCAATAATAATATTCACTACAAACTCAGCGTTATCGATACCAAAGCACAAATAAATGAACTTAGTAGTCCAAGACAAGAAAAATTACTGAGAGTGCATTATTACCTTCATGTTTAGGGTGAGATTTCATATATTTTGACTTCAAAATTTGATTCCTCACCATACAAGAAGCTCGAGCAAATGAGGAAAAAGTTAAAGGTCGAGTTCCCAGCGGTTGCCGCCGCTTTGTTGGCCTTCGGGGCATCTTCAAGAATTGAACAAGCTGATCATTAAAAAGATATGTCAGCAGGCCAAATGCAATGGAATTGAGGAAACACAATCTCAGATTCACAGTCCAGAAACAGCAAAGTTAGCATAACATTACGATAGTCAAGCTATTGCCTTAATGGAAAACCAATCAACACTTCGGAAAATCTAAGCAACAAGTTCTTTACTGAAACACGAAGATCCTAGAATGCGCGAAAAATCAAAGCAGAGAGTACCTGAACTGATATAGAATTCAAATTCGGAGCTTTTCCAATATAAAAAATTTGGAGATAATGAAGCCGAGGAGAAGAAAGATCAGATGGACGGAAGAGCTAGGGCA